CACACACACACACACACACACACACACACACATTTGCAAAGTGCAGACTCGCAGTATTCTTTTGCATGGAAAAGGGCAATGCAGAATTGTGAACAACCATCTCAAACACGTATAGGTTCTCAGGCTCAGAGACAGAAACGACAGAGCCGTGACGGCCAGGGGCAGTGAACAGGGTAGCTCCTGACAGCACTGGCTGTGAGCACAGGGAGAAGTTTATATACCCAAAGAGAGAGACAAAAATGAATGGGAAAGAGAAGGAAGGAGAAAGGAAGAGAGAGAAAAAAATGGAAGGAGAAAGAAAAAAGGAAGGAAAGAAGGAGCGAGGAAGAAAGAAAGAGGAGGAAATAAGGAAGGAGAAAGAAAAAGGAAGAAATGAATGAACGGAGAAAGAGAAAGAAAGGAAGGAAAAAGGAAAGGAAGAAGGGAAAGAAGGAAGGAATCAATGAAGGAAAAAAGCAATGAAGGAAAGAAAAGATAGAGAAAGGAAGAAGAGGAAATAAGGAAGGAGAAAGAAAAAGGAAGAAATGAATGAACGGAGAAAGAAAGGAAAGAAAAAGAAAAAAGGAAAGGAAGAAGGGAAAGAAGGAATCAATGAAGGAAAAAAGCAATGAAGGAAAGAAAAGATAGAGAAAGGAGAAAGAAATAGAGGAAGGGAGGGACAGTGGAAGGAAGAAAGGAAGGAACAGCACAAGGAAGGAAGGAAGAGTGGAAAGGAAGAGCGAAGGGAAGGAGGCAGCAGCGGGAGAGCAGCGAGCTGGCCCCGCCCATCGCCCCGCCCCCGGTTCCCACGGGGCGCGAGGCCCCGCCCCGCCCCGCGCTCCTCCAATCAGAACGCGCGCTCTCTGCGCATGCTCGGAGAGCCATTTAAAGGTCTGCCCGGCCTCTGGGGCCTGGGAGGGAGAGGGCGGCGGGTGCCCGCACCCCGGGGTCCGCCCGCCCGCCCGCCCGCCGCGGTCACCTTCCAGCGGCTTGACGATCTGCAGCTTCTCGGGCAGGAAGCAGCGGCTGCCGAAGGACATGGCGGAGCCGGCGGTGAGCGCGCCCAGCGAGGCCAGGCTCCCGGAGGGCGAGGGCGGCCCCTCGGCCAGCCGCCGCAGCTTCCGCTCCTGCTCCTCCTCGAAGAAGCGCCGCTCCGACAGCAGGTTCTCCCGCCGCAGCGACAGTCGCCGCAGCGCCGTCTCCAGGTCGTGCGAGCCCGGCGTGCCCGGCGTGCCCGGCTTCTTCCCGAGCTCCTCAGCCCTGCGTGAGGGGCGGGGCGGGGCCGGCGTGAGGGGCGGGGCCGACAGGGGAAGGTGGCAGGGAGGGGCGTGGTCGGCTTAGGGGCGGAGCCAGCTGGCAAGGGTGGGGTGAGGGGCGGAGCCGACAGGTGAGGGGCGTGGTCGGCTGAGGGGCGGGGCCTGTGTGGGGGCGGGGCTGCTAGTCAGGGGTGGGGTGAGGGGCGGAGCCGACAGGGGGAGGTGGCAGGGAGGGGCGTGGCTGGGGTGAGGGGCGGGGCTACTGGTAGAATGAGGAGTGGTGCTGGGATGAGGGGCAGGACCACCAGGGGGCAGGATGTGGCTGGTGGGCGTGGCCTGTCCCGCAGGGGGCGGTGTAGGAAGTGGCATCGTGAGGTGGGTGTGGCCTGCAGAGGAGTGGCCAGTGGAGGGGGGCGGGACGAGGGGCGTGGCCGGTGTGGGGAGAGCCACTGGCAGCACTGGTGTGGATGTGGTGGTGGCGTGCGCATCTATCTGCACGTGTATGTCGGTATGTGGTGTGTATGTGTTGCATGATTGTGTGCACCTGTGTCGATACAGGTGCATCTACATATATGTGTGTGCATGTGTGTGTGCAGGTCTGTGTACGAGCGTGTGCATGTAGGTGACTGTACATGCCGGTGTCTGTGCGTCTTGTGTGTTACATGTGTGTGTGTGTGTATTGTGTGTCTCTGCGTGTGTGTTGTGCGTCTGGTGCAGTGACATAGCAGGACCAGTGGGGTGTGTGTGCGTGCCTGTATGCACATGTGCGTGTGCACCCATGGATATCCATGTGCTGTGCATCCTGCATTCGGCTCAGTGACACAGCGGGGCTGGCCGGGGGCGCTGGTGTGTGCCTGTGTATTTACCTGCGTGGTGTGTGCACGTGTGTGCCCGCGTGTGGAGGCTAGGGTGTGAGGATGGCGGGTGGAGGCCGGCCCGGCTCGCTCACCCCAGCTCGGCGGCCTCCGTCTCCAGGATGAGGCTGTTGGTCCTGTTGTCCAGCAGCACGTTGCCCACGTCGCTCCCGTAGAAGCTGGACCGCGGGGTGCTCACGCAGCTGGACAGCAGGGAGCTCATGGCGGAGGACTGGTTGGAGCCGGGGATGTTCATGGGGGACGGGGTGAGTGATCTCTGCTTCACCACCTGGTTCATGTTCCGCACCGCCTCGAACACGCGCTTCTGGTGGCTGCGGGGCATGGGAAAGCAGCCGGTGACCGGGGAGTCACAGCTGGGCGGCATCACGCCTGTCCTCCCAGCCACGCAGGAGCAGGCTGAGATCTGGAGGATCGCCGTCCGAAGCCAACACGGCAGGAAAGTCTGTGAGACTCTTATCTCCCATGAACCAGCCAAAAGAACACAACAAAACTAAAGTGGGCTTAAAGTGGTAGAGCGCTACTAGCCTTGAACAGAAAAAGCTCAGGGATGGAGTCCCAGGCCCTGAGTTCGAGCCCAACGCTTCCTCCCACCCCCACCCACTAGGGCACAAAAATAAATAAATGTCCTCTAGGACCAGTTCTGCGTTGCCCCTTGGGTGCTGGGGCCTTCATTCACAGTAGGAAATCAGAAACCAACCTCCACATTCTAATCTGCCCAACATTCTAATCTGCAGAGTTGTACTTAGGCGACATATTGTAGCCAGTGTGGTAACTCACACCTATAATCCTGGCTACTTGGGAAATAATAAGAGGAGGGTTGAAGTGTGAGACCAGCCCCATGTCTCAAAAAATAAAACATATATAAATAAAAAAGACAAGAGTAGCAGTACATGCCTGTAATCCCAGCTACCTGGGAAACAGAAATAGGAGGATTACAGTTCTAAGCTAGCCCTTTGACCAAAGTTGAGACTTTCAAAGAAAAAAAAAAGGTCTAGGGGTGTGACTCAAGTGGTCCAGCACCTAGCCCTGTGGTACCTTAGTACCTGACAATAAATAAATGGGGACCAGGAAAAACAAATCACAGTTACAACAATTTGCTATGGGGCTGGAGCATGGGGATGAGGGACAAATACTACTGCTAGCTTTATGTGTGTGTGTGTGTGTGTGTGTGTGTGTGTGTGTGTGCACGCCAGTCCTGGGCTTGAACTCAAGACCTGGGTGCTATCCCTGAGCTTTTGTGCTCAATGCTGGTGCTCTACCATTTAACCCAACACCTCCACCTCTGGCTTTTGTTTTTTTACTGGTTCATTGGAGATAGAGTCTCTGGATTTTCCTCTCCACCCTCCCCCCAAACCCCCTCCAGGCCTGACCTCCAACCTTGATCCTCAGATCTCAGCCTCCTGAGTAGCTAGGATGGACAGGCTGCTTATCTTTATGAAGTCGGGCTCACGGTCTCGAACTGTAGCACAACTCAAGGAGGCTGAGATCCGGAGGATCATGGTTCAAAGTCAGCCTGAGTGTAAAGTCAGCCTGTAGCTTTTGAACAACCCCCCCAGGCTCACTCTTGAGCCAGGCCTCTGGAAAGTTCAGAAGTCTTAGAAAACCCACGGGGCCCCTACGTGATGTC